TGGCTTGCATCCATAGATGCTTCTCAAGCAAATCCCAGGACGTCATTCTCCCCTTGTACTCGGCCTTGGTGAAGCTGCAGCTGGAGTACTGCGTCTAGTTTTGGGCTCCACAGTTCAAAAAGGATGTGGTGAAGCTTGAGAGAGTCCAGAGAGGAGCCATGCACGTGATCAGAGGTCAGGAAAAGAGACCTTACGACGACAGGCTGAGAGCCATGGGGCTCTTTAGCTTGGAAAAGCGCAGGCTCAGGGGTGATCTGATGGCCACCTATAAATTTATCGGGGTGACCACCAGGATCTGGGGGAACGTTTGTTCACCAGAGCGCCCCAAGGGATGACAAGGTCGAACAGTAATAAACTACTGTGAGACTGTTTCAGGCTGGACATAAGGAAGAATTTCTTTACTGTCTGAGCCCCCAAGGTCTGGAATAGCCTGCCATCGGAGGTGGTTCAAGCACCTACACTGAACACCTTCAAGAGCAAACTGGATGCTTATCTTGCTGGGATCCTATGACCCCAGCTGGCTTCCTGCCCTTTGGGTGGGGGGGCTGGACTTGATGATCTTCCAAGGTCCCTTCCAGCCCTAATGTCTATGAAATCTATATAAAACCTTTACATTGGGTTGGTATATTGAACTGTGTCAGATTCTCTTGCTGGCCAAACCTAGAATTAACTTAAGGGTCCTTCAAATGCTTTGTTATTTTTTCCTCATTTGCTATGGTATTACCTTATTTTGTTCCTGTATAATGTGACTGCAGTGATTCTTTAAGGTGGATATGTTTGCTGCACCATTAAAGAGCCAGTCTAAATTTATATACGTAGACTTCCTGATAGTGTACTAGGCAGCGTTAAGACACACTTCTTGATAGTGGCATGGGGGGGTGAGTGGTAGGGTTAGGCTTAGCAAGCTTCTGCCCCCCCCCCCATTTCTTGACAGACAATTAGAGGCTGCTATTGCTTCTGAGTTAATACTGATCAGAAGTTCAACACAGGACTTCCTGGAGGTGGAAGGCTGTGTGGGGTGCTGGCGGAGGGGGTCAGGGGGGCAAGCTCCCCCCCCAGCTCCTGGGAGGTGGCGGGGGGGAGGAGTTAGGGTTAGCAAGCTTTCTCCCCCCCACCTCCGTCCTAGCCCTGCCCCATTCTTGATGGGCAATTTGCTAGTGTATATTTATATTTGTGATAGAAATTAAAACTTTTCAAGTAAGTGCACAACTGTTTACTGTATTGTATTTTGTAATGCTTTATCTTAGTTATTCTTGAGTGATGACAAAGCTTCTGATTCTTAGGAGACTACTATGCTATCTGGAACTATGTCTTGAGTTGATATAAACTTTTACTCTTAGTTATAACCCTTTAAATAACTTCCTTGGAATTCAGTCCTTCAACAGCGTGTGTGTGTGTGTGTGTGTGTGTGTGTGTGTGTGTGTGTATAAATAAAATAATGTTCCCTGTCTAGTCTTGTAACACTTCATTTACCTCTATTCAACTTTTCTTAATAAGACTTCCTTCCAACTTCCTAATTAACCTTGTTGCTCTTCCCTATACTCTTTTGGGAACCTCCTGACAGCTATACACTAATACAATTTTCTGGTGTATGTGTCACACTGCAATATTAGAAAGATACTTTTTTCCCATCCTGTTAAATGATCTAGGGTTTTGATGGGCTAGTTTGCAAGGGCGTACTAAACTGGTATGCTTCCTAGCAGTTGTCATTTTTTGATTCTGCAATCTAAGTTGTAAGTAGACTATGAAGAAGTACCGCTACTCTGTTTCAGTTTTGTCTGTCACATATGATACGTCTGGATTATATTGGGCTGTTTTGTTTTTTATGTCTTATGTACATTGATTTTTAGTTTACTAAGAACTTACTTGCATTTTTTGACATCTGTTGAAACTTATCCAGCAACGCTTAAATTTCTCTGGCCTCATTCAAGGGGCTTGTCTTAAAATTGTATAGGTGATATTTAAGTTGCCTTTTATTTTTAGTTTGTTGCATTCTCTTCTCTTCCCCCAGGGGTTTGTCATTCAATTGGAGGCTGCTATTGCTTCTGAGTTAATACTGATCACACAGTTTAACATAGGAATGGAAGTCACTCACCTGCTAGAAGTGGTATCTTTCCTTAGAGACAAAAATTGAGGTCATGATCTGTTTGTTACCATATGGGAGAAGCATAAATGCTTTGCTTTTGGTATTACTATAGATCAGGTTCTTCACGCTGTCTTACATTTATCATGAAATATTCACTTGTGAGGCTTCCAAAGCCCTTTGTTAATGCTACATATGGGCATAATTTTCAGGACTACTTTGGGATTGGGAACTTGTCTTATCAATGGAAAAACCTACAAGAAAGTTTTAGAACAGTGGGGGCCAAACTTATTGTCCATTGAGCTAGAGGCTAGCCAAACGTAGCCTCACACCTTCCTGGAGAGCCACTCCAATCCCTTTCCCCCTGCCTGAGTGATCACCTGCTCTGTTTTTTGCTTCTTGTCCTGGGCTCTGTGCCACTCTTCTGCCTGGTCTGCCACACACAGAGGTTGCCTGTGGGACTTGTGCTGCTGCAGGTTGCCTACCCCTGCTTTGGGAAGCATTGAACATAACACCTTATCAAATAGAGGGAATCTTCTCCACAGTACAAGATGCAGTTTGACCTGAATAGGGCTACAAATGTTTGCTTACATAATACTGAACCCATATTAACAGTCAACTTCAAACAGAACAAATCATGCTCAGCTTTATCAGTTAATCCTTGTAACCTGCTTTAACTATAACTTGGTAATTACATGTATTTAATGTCTGCAGTGGCTTTGTCTGCAATATCTGAAGATTAATGGATGCTGAAGATAGCAAGGAGAATATATGTAATAAGTTTATCGGAGTTCTTTGTAGGGGTTCATCATGATTAAATGATAATGAGGTTGGATGTGATCTGTCCTGACTTAAGCAAATTGCTGAAATGTACTCAGCAATGTGTAAGCAAGCATTGGTCATCACTTTTATATGTAGTTAAATTCTTGGATTTACTCAGCATGTTGTGGGGAGAACAGCAGTGCAAGTATGATTAGGGAATTCCCAAAGGAATATAAAATGCTTGTTCAGAGATTGCAAGGGAGATTCGGAAGCTGGGTTCTAACAAATTTTAATGCTGGCTGGAGGCCAAGGCACCATGACAGTTCTAGAAGAAGTTGAATAATAATGGATATCTGGGGATGCATCTCAAATGCTGGTACTATGTGGCACTGGATGCCAGACTTTGCAGGGACACCTTTACTAAGCCATGAGTAAGAAGAGTGTATGCCTTCCAGTGTCTTGGAAAAAACTACAGAGCAACAAAGCTGGCTGGAAAAAATGGATATGGAGGATGCAGAGGCTGTGTGTGGATAAGGGTGTCAACAGGTATAAGGATTAAAATGCCTCCAAAAAGCCTTTTGAAATGTTTCAGAGGCCTAGATGTACAAATGTACTTGCCCATTGAAACGTTCCAAAAGTGACTCAAGCATCACAAAATAGAACCATACAATAATTCCTCTTGTTTATAGAGGTATTATTTTCATGTGAAAAATTTTTGGTTACATGTTTATGGGGACAGCACATAAGAGATGGGCTGAGCTGGGGCTGGGCTTATTGCCTTCCCCTTGCTCCTGCCAGACCCCTGGAAACCATGTTGTTACAGAAGCTGGGCTCTCCATACCCAATCTCCTCTACCTCTTTCCTCCAAGGGGGAAGAGGGGAGTTTTGGTGGATCTGAGAGCTTCTTCCACACCTCCTGAAAATCTCCACCTTTGCTTACTTCTTTTTAGCTCTCTGTTCTCTCTGCCTGCCATCACTGTGAAAGGAAGAGAGACTGGGGAGCTGAGAGCGGAGCTGCACATGATTGTAGCCATCTTTAGCACCAGCCTGGGAGTGCTGAAGGAGGCTGCAGTGTTTTGAAACTTTCTGGCCAGGGAATGGCACAGGGGATGTACATAGTTGCCTCACTGGAATGTTTTCTTTTTGAAATGCTTTTAAGTGTGTTTCACTTGGAAACTTCTTTAGCAGGTTGGTCTGTACCCTTAGACCCGGATGAACTCAGCCAGCAGACCCACTGGGTGAGGGGCTCGCTTGTGTAGGTGTGACGCATTGCTCCATTGATGCATGCCCTTTTCTAAGTTTTGTACCTGTCAACTCATGCCCCTCAAGATATTGGCTGGCCATCTGCAAGTAGAGAACAAAGACATTCTGTTTTAAAGTAGCTAGTTTTATTTAAAAAATATTCATTGTCAGTCGTAAGCAAAAAGTACTAAACATTTGAAGTAGCCAGATAATTTAGGGGAGCTGTTTGCTATGTGCAAGTAAAATCTTTGCAGACAAGAAAAATTAGTAGAATATAATTCAGTGCATTCAAAACTGAAAACAAAATACATGCAAAGGAATTATGTGACTGGTCAGATTAAATATGCAGGGAAAATACAAAAGCATGCTTGAAGCAATCTAGTAAGTGGGCATTCAGATAAAAACATGATTTTGCATCAGTGCTATTGAAAACCTACATCCAACAAGTTTAGAGGTCCTAAGTGAAATTTTGCTTTTCAAGTCAGAAAGCCCAAGTACAAAGCAAATTACTTGCATGATTAGTTCATGGAAGAAGTAGAAATAATTGCTTGCCTAGGAGGGTTTCACTTGGACTGGCTCATAGAACAGTCTGGTAATGATAACACTTCTTTGCTTGCAAAACTTCTGGCTTATTTCAACCTAGACCCTGCTATTTGTCCTTGGGCACTACTTAGTTCAAATTTTCAAACAACTGTTTGATCATAGTGTACATGCTGCATGAAGAGTTTTATTACTTCTGTCACAATAACTTGCCTTCTGCTGCTCTGCAGTGAGCTCTGAGCTACATCCCTATGAAGAGGCTTGAGTGATCTTAAGTTGTTCCTACTACATGCCTTCTCTGGGTATCTCTGCCTTCTCAAAAGCAATGTCCATTGAGGATCATTGCTGCTTGTAGTAAGTCTAGCAGTATTTACTGTGCTATTCATACAGTCATCTCCCAGGACACCAGCACTTGGGCTATTTGTGGCTGGAGCATTTGCAGTGTCTTCAGTATAGATGCTGTAATGTGTACTGTTGCACAACCCTGACGCAAGTGGTTGTGAGGTGTGACCGTGGTTATATTTGTATACAGATCAGTACGGGGAGGACTAAGTATAGGGAGTTATGATAGTTATCTTTAAATTGTCTCCTATCCCCCTTCAACCTTAAAATGTTTGTCCATCCGTTTATCAGTGATTTTTAATTGGGGACTATCCCTTCTACACTTATGAAAAAAATTATCATGATTAAAAAGGAAAAAGAAACATACGGGTACAAAGGAAGCCCATATTTTCAGACCTGTTCAGATCCAGAGTCCTTGAGTTCAGGTACAGAGAGAACACAAGCTGGAGGAAAGATAGAAAAACTGAAATGTTCAGCAGCGCAAGAAAGAGTAAATTATGGGCGAGATCAGAAGAAACTGGAAGGGTTTTGAATAAGGTTCTAAAAAAAAGAAGATTATGGGATAGCACTGCTGAAACTATGGGAACTTGACACAATGTCTGCAATGCTTAGCAAAGCGCACCCACAGTACACTCCAAGCATTTTAAAAGGTAGGGTGCTTGATGATGGGACATTAGATACTGGATAAGCATCTATCCCCTGTCCACAGTGCAGTGTATTATTTGCCAAAAATGGTTTGTCGCTGAAGGTGCGCTGCACTGGCAAAAGCAAACTCATGTGAATGTGCTCATGCTTCATAGCAGTATTGGCAGCTATATGCTGCTAGATTTTCAGTAAAGCTCTTCTGGAAATATAGTCCCAGTGTTGTTACTTTTAAGGGTTTTTTTTAATGGGTTTACAGACTTAGAACATTTCCACTGTGAATGTTCGCTCTGTACATTAGTAGCATCATTATAGTAACTACTGATGCTGACCTCTTGTTTGCTCTGCCTGTTCCTTTTCAAGATTTTTTCCCTCTTCTCAACCTTCTAGGATTTTTTCCAATTTCTCTTTCACTATTTACTCTACTTTCCCCAAATATTCTTCTAATTATGATGATTAGTCACAATGTTATACTTGCTCTTAAATTCCTTATCAGATTGCTGTTGATTATAATTTAGTAAGGAATTGTGTCATGCTATTAAGAACCGCTTCAGGAAAATTTCTTCTCAAAGATTTTGTTCATACAGTTGTGTTAGTTGACTTAAGACCTACATTATTTTACAGCTCTTTGAAGTCACTCTGAGGAGTTGTTCCATATTTCAGAAGAGGTAAGACAAAATGCTACCAGCTGAAAAATAGCTTTATTGGGCTATGTTTTAAATGACATTCCTTTCCACATACTCTATCTGTGTGTAGTTCTAAAAATATCCACTAATACCTACTGCAAGAAGACTGAGTGGTCTTTCTTAATAGGGAAAATTTTGACTGCCTATTTCTTTGTTAATTTTCTCATTAGCTCTATTTTATAATAACCTTTTGTTATGTCTTCATTAGTTACTTGTTAATAACTAAAAAGAAAGCCTTTGATCCAGACTTAAGATACCCATAGCTGCTTTGTGGCCTTCCAGATTCTTATGCCTGCCTATACTTTAAACCTTTCAAAAACTAACCATGTCTTCTCCTGTAGTGCAATTTTAATCATGCCCTTCTGGAGCTGACAACCACTGTGAAAACACGTGAGCCTGTGGCAGAACCCTTAGATCTACCTCCGTCTCTGACCTGAGGGTGGTTGTTCTCAGGAAGCAAACAGTTAAAAAAACAGTTTTGAACTAGAAATTGTGGATTGCGTTAAGTATGGTTTACTAATCATAGCAAGCAGTCATGAGGGATGAGTGAATGTATGTCCTTGACTGCAATTCATCTCTTACAGGTTTGAGGTCTGTTATTTATCTGCAGGTGCTGCAGTTCTTGTTTACTGTGTTAGATGGAATGATATTACGTAGTGGAAGGATTAGTTAGAGGAGATTAGCAGAACCAACTCCAATATGAAACAAGATACCTGTGTCTAAAGGAACCTAGTGTATCTTATTTTGGTGTTGATTTTTGTACATTGTCAGAGGGGTACATGAGGTTACCTTATTGACATGGGAAAAATTGGAAGCTTTGTGTCCTACATCACAGTGATCTTCAGGGTTTAGTGAAGAATAAGGGAAAATGAAGTCTCAAAATATTCAGGAAATGGTTGACATGATAATGTTTGTAGGTCTAGTATGGTTTGTGTGGAGTAGATTCAGTATTCGAGTGCAGGCCAAGTATAGTTTCTGACTACTATGTCTGATATAGTCTAGAATTTTGTCTTGGAGGTTCATGGTTAGCTGTTTCAGTCAGAAGTCAAGTGGAAGGCAGGGTAGATTTGCTCCTTATACACTGAGGCGGGCAAAATATGGCCCACAGGCTGGATCCGCTCCTACAGGCCATTCTATCTGGCTCATGGGGCCCCTGAAAAATTTAGAAAATGTAATATTTATCTGCCCCGACTACCTGTCAAAGATGACAGGAGCCAGTGGCAGTAGGACCCAGGGGGAGCTGTTGGCAGGACTAAACAGTTGCAGCAGCAAGGATGACAACACGTGCCCCCCCCCCCAACCAGAAGCCTCTGCTTAGCAGAGGTTTCTGGCCTGGGACCCTGGGGCTGTTCTTGCCTCCCTGCACCGAAGGGAAATTCATATAAGAGCATGGAGGGAAGCAAGGAAGGACTGCAGGCGATTGCTCCAGTCTTCAGGGCTGGGCAGGGCCAGCTCCTAGCCATACAGCCAGGAACCATGTGGTGCCAGGCAGAGGGTGGGGGAAAGCAGGGAAATGGCTGTGGAAGGGGCAGTGGGTGGGCATGCGGGAGTGCAGCAACAGCTGGGCAGGAATGTGGGGCCTGTGCTGGTGTCCTGGGACCGGTGCCAGTGGGGCCCAGGGCAGGGGCTGTATGGAGCTGGGCTGGCTCCCTCCTCTCCCTGCTGGTGCAGCCCTACCCAGCTTCATAGAGCCCCTGCTGGCCTATGCCCCACTCTGGGCCCCTGCTAGTGTGGGCCCCACGCTCCTGCCCAGCTGTCACTGAGCTCTAGGTGCTCGATTGCTGCTACTCCCGCACTGCCTGCCACAGCCATTTCCCTGCTTTCCTACCTGCAGCTGCTGCAGTTTTGGCACCACATGGTTCCCAGCTGCAGCACTAAGGTGCAGGACTCGGCAGGAACCAGCCTGACTCCTGCGATTCTCTGCTGGCTCCACGCAGTGCTGGCTGGGCTGGTCCAGTTCCTGCTGCATCCTGCAGTCTTGGCTGTGCAGCTGGGACATGGTGCGGGGAGGACAGGGAAGCAGCATGAGAAAGGTAGCAGTGGCAGACAGGAGGGGGAAGTGGTGGTGAGTGGGAGCACGGGGCCTGTGCTGGTGCTCTGGGGCCAGGAGTGCAGAGCCCAGGCTTGGAGAAGTGCTAGCAGGTGTTCTGTCTGCTGCAGGGGAGCAAAAGACCCTAGATTCTTGCACCATTGTTACTATGCACAGTCTGAGCAGGCATAGCATTTTTTAGAACAGTTTAAGTATGCATGTAGGTTTAAACTCTTTGATGTATGGGAGGAACTCATGTAAAGAGAAACTGAATTGATTGGACATGCTTATCTTAAAAAAAAAAAAAAAAAAAAAAGATAGAGGAGAAAGGGGGGCATAATAAATATATAAACAAGTACTCTGGAGCTTCTTTTCCCTGACTTGTGACACAGGTGCTAGGGAATATGTATAGGAATCTTAACATAGAACATAGTTGCTTTAAAAGAAGAAATCGTTCCCTCTCTTTGAAGTGGAGGAAGTGATTTTGTACAATGCATTATTAAGTATTTTTAATGTATGTATTATAGTAAGCCATGGAATCCTTTTCTTTTTTAATTTTAGAGTATGTATATATAAGTACACCTGGAACAGCTTTACAAGACTGGGAGGAAGCAGGGTTAAGTCAGAGCAATTGTGTTACATTTTCATTGCTATGGGCTGGTGCACCCACCTGTTATAGCAACTCCCCTCCCCTTTTGAAGCCACTCCAAGTGTACACATGCTATGCCCTTAGCATGATATTTTGTGGGTTTCACATAGTGCTTAAATGTTAGATACCTCCATCTGAAAATGTTGGTTTTAACAAAATGAAGGACTTTCTCATCTGAATAAACTTTCTTTGTAATGCAGAACTCCATGAAGATGTCTGGCTGTTACTACTCTAAGCTATCAAAAACTGGATATTTGTTGTTTAATTACTGAAGCAGTCCTATTCAGTTGCTACCTGAGACCCTGATCCTATGATGGATCAAAATTGGTTGCTATGGTAAGAATTAAAAAACAAATTATTGCCAAAAAAGCTATAAAACCAGGGTCGACCTAATTGTTTTAGTAAGATCTTGATAAGTGTGCTTGCTGTTGTACAAAGGTAGATAAGACATTTGCCCAAGATGCATTTAAATTTCTGTTTCGAATTTCATCCACTAATAGTGAGTAGACCTATGACTGAGAAGAATAAGTTAATGTGCATTTTCAAGATCCTGTTTTCGTGTGCATGTGTCTATTATAAACCACCAATGTGAGAATATTGCATATAGGTTGAATAGTTTTAAAGGGAAGAGTTTTTACAGGTTCTTATTAGATAACACTGGCTACTAATTTTAAAACGTGTTTGTTTAGTACCAACTCCAATTACAATAATTTGAAAACTGAATCTGATCAGTAAAGGCACTAAAGCTGTTGTGAGGTAAAAATGCTAAAATATAAGAAAGGCAGATGTGATAGGAAAACTTCTGCACTAACATGAATCTAAAAAAGGTTTTAGATTATCCAGGAATCATAGACTTGGAAACTGATTTTTGCTTTTGTTCTCAACACCATAGCATTTGGAATAATGATGTAATATTTTAAACCTTTCAGGGATCAAGATTGTCTATAATATGGAGAGAATGTGTTCAAGACGGTCCATATAGAAGATTTGTTACTTTGCGAAGGTCTCGCTTTTGACTAATATGTAAATGTGACAACTTCAAGTTCACTTACTTGTCTTGAAATTGAGACACGTCTGCTGCCTTCATCAGAAATGTTTTTATCATTTTCAAGAAAAAACATGTCCCAAAAACTGAGTTTATTGTTGCTGGTGTTTGGATTCATTTGGGGATTGATGTTGCTACGCTATACTTTTCAGCATCCAAGGCATCAAAGCAGTGCTGAGTTACGTGAACAGATACTAGACTTAAGTAAAAGATATGTCAAAGCACTGGCGGAGGAAAATAAGAACACAATGAATGGTGGTAATGGCGCCTCAATGGCAGGATATGGTAAGATTAGATACAAATATAGTTATGTAGTCCCGTTTTCTTTTATACTATTTTTATGAAGTCGTGGTAAACTTTAAATCTTTTTCTTGTTTTCAAAAAGCTCTTGCAACTCTGAGGGAGAATCCTTTAGTAATTGACTAACTTTTTTGCTTGTTTGATAAAGCTTAAAATAAAAATGAGGGCAAATTATAATTTTCATAGATTTCATAGACATTAGGGCTGGAAGGGACCTTGTAAGATCATCGGGTCCAGCCCCCTGCCCAAGGGTCAGGAAGTCAGCTAGGGTCAAAGGATCTCTAAATTTAGCAGGATTTTGCTAAATTTTAATCTGTATTATTGATGGTTAGAAATTTGACAGTCTGCATCAACATTAGACTGTTTCTCCAGAAACTCTAAAGTGATACAGCTGTAGGATGTTCTCTGAAGAAACATGAAGGCATACATAAATAACATAGAGACTAAATGTAAAATTTAAGCACTCTGCTAATTGTCATGTGCTGTCACTGTGTTGTATTATGAGCTTTTTCAGCTTTAATGAATCCACTTTATCAAATAACAAATTTACCATTTGAAGATGCATCCCAATTCCTTAAAATATACATCAAGATGATAGATATTTATCTTGCATCAGCAGTGCTCCCTTAACACTAGTCAGTATCCACAGAAGTCTTGTTCTGTTCTTCTCTTCCTCTGTCTCTGACTGTTCCTTTTACTTTCCAGTTGATGTTAAGCTTTTGTTTCTTCATCTCTGTATGTAACCTGCTTAATAATTCACCCCTTTGCTTTCCCCAGAACTCCGCATAACACAAAGCTTGGTGTCTTCTACTCATCTCTGTTTTTAGATTTCAAATTATTTGTACATTTTTATTGCTTCTATTTTGCTACTAACAGCAGAAAAGAAAATATAAAGAGTAAAAAGGAATTGTTAATGGAATTAGTTCTGTAAAAAATAATCAAGTACTTAGCAGTATGGGGTTTACCTTCTGATGGCAAGGAGAACAGTGCATGTCAATTCTTAAACTTTGTTGTGTTCGCATTCTGATATTCCCATCGGATTTAACTGTTAGCTTTGATACCAGGGAGCCCATATTCCCTTGCACTAAATTAGTGGAGCCTATTCTTGTCATCTAGAATATAAGAAGCTCTGTATAAGTACTTACTGAGGTTATTTTGTTGTAAGAATGAATATGTCCCACTTTAAACTTTGCAGTACCAGCTTCATGACTCTGGGAGTACTAATCTACAATTTGGAAAATGTAAGCTAGTCAAATTTCTCATGCTGTTTTCCAGTGCTTCATCCAGACTTAAGTGTTTGATAACTAGATCTCAGAAACTGTCTGCATTCCATTCTTCTATAAAAAAAAAATTCTACTAAGTTTTCTATAAGTACATAGGTATTCAAAACTTAAACAGGAATTAGTTTTTAAATTAATAGGAAACTAGAATTCTAGTTACAGAGACTTGTTATTGTAGTTGCTGCTCCTCTTTAGAGCAAATTTCATTGAATGGTAATTTGTTTCTCTTTCTCCCAGTGTTTGAGCACTATTTTAGGACCCTCACAGCTGTAATTTTATAACTTATCCTAAAAAAGTAAAAGCTGTATAGGTAAAGGAGATCTGTCTCCTTTTGTTACATACAAAGGAATTTGTTTAAAGTTTGGTTTAAGAGAATAAGAGAAACTTTAAATACTGTATTTACTTGAATAAAAGGCAAGGTCCCCCCCCACCATCAGCAATGGAGGGGGGTAAGGGGCAGAAGCCTAGTCTTGGATTTGAGTAGTGGCCCAGGGCAGGTGGTGACTGAACTTCAGCTTTGGCCCCAGGCCAGAATGATTCATTTGACAAGGGAAGGGGCATGTGGCATGGGGAAAACTGCAAGGTGTTTGTACTCTGTACCTGTGTCTGTCTTCTCCCCACTGCAGCCTACCTCTCTCTTTTCTCCCTAAACCTCATTACCTCTGGCTCTGGCTCTAGTCCCTCCAGTTCCAACCTGGTCCGGCCAGGAGCTTCCACTGCTTTTCTCTGGCTGGGGTGGGCCAGGGCTGCAGCTGCTGCTGACTGCCCTGGAGATGCAGAGCTGCAGCATAAATGTTGATGGGGGCGAGGAAGAACAGGTGGTAGGGGAGCAGGCTGTAGGGGGTGGTGGGAGGCTGCCTGAGGAGAGCAGGGATGGAGGAGCAGTCATGAAGGGGGCTACTACAGGCATAGGGAGACAAGGGGCAGGGATCTGGTCCCTTACCTCCCTACTGCTGTTCTCCCCACGACAGCAATATGAGGCATGAATTTAGGACAGCCTTCCACTAATTAGAGTCTATACATGGGAAATATATAATTTTCCATGTATAGAATCCAATTATTGGAGGGATTATCTTAAATTCAGACTTGTCTTGGATTCTGATATATATGGTAATTTTATGAAGTTATTAGCAAAACTAAGAATTAAACACTTTATAAAGCTGGATAGGTCTTAAATAGCTATAGGTTTGTGTTCTGGCATCAGTGGGATCCTCTTCCCTTCTGCTTTTTCTTGGTATATGAATGGATGTCAGAATTGTTTTTCCCCTGCAGAACAAATTAAGCCTAAATCCTACCATTCAGAAACCTGAATAGATAGGATTTTTTCCTACTTTTTAAGTACCCTATGTACTTGAATATAAGATGACACCCCCCTCTCCCCACAACAATTAGATTCTATATATCAAATTTATAAATTTTCCATAGAATTTTCCAGGGATAGAATCTAATTATTTGGGGTTTACCTTTAACTTTTATTCCTTTCCCACTGCTAAAGTAGGGAAAATAAATCTGGGGGTCAGTCCCCTTTTCCCTGCTTCTGCCTTCTTACTGTCGTATCCTGCTCTGCCTGAGCACGTGCAAGTGAGGGGCAAGTTTGAAAATACCGACCTTGAAATATAATTTACCATATAGGCAAACTATTACAGGAGCCTTAGTTCATCAAGAATAAATACTTTTCCCCTGTTTTGAAACTGCTGCAAGTTCTAGCAAAAGTACTCCATAAACATACTTTTAAAACAGCACTTTTGTACCTTTTTTTATTAAGGAAGCTTTTTTGTGTTCCAAGCCAAATCAATTCCAAATTTGTGAGTCATTCAAGAACCATATATGGCCCTACTACTGGCAAACATCCTCCACCCCTACCTGGGGCTTCAGATGTCTCAAAATCATTTAGCAGGCTTCCTTTGGCAGGCCCAACCCCAGAGGCTTGGGGTTTGGATGCCCCCAGGTTTTGCTTGCCCACAGCCATATGGCTTCAGGCATGAATGCCATGTGCCCTCAGAGGCTGGATCGCCCGTGGGGGACACCCCCGCTTTGGACTGCAGGATTGCCTGCAGGGGTGACACGTCCCCCCCGACTAAGGTGGCACTAGTCACCCATTGTGGGGGGCCCCCCAGCACGCTCAGCAGCGGACCCAGAAGTGGACCGGAAGTACTTCTGGTCCACTTCTAGATTTGCTGCTGAGCACGCGGGGGGGCCCCCTGTGCGATGCATCATCCGCCCCACTATTGCAGTGTTCGTGAGCCGCAGCTGGTACCTCAAAGTATGTAGAAAAAACATTTAAAGCTCTGTCTATGGCCGAATCGCTGATTCTCTGAATCAGCATTGAATCTTCAGATTTGGATTTGGCTGAATTGAATCCAGACAGTGATCCAAATCAATGAATGGACTCACTGTCCCCGATTTGGGCTGAATCTGAATCAAATACGGCCCATTTCACACACCCCTAGTAACAACCTATCCTTGTGGTTGCTTCCCATTAAAAATGTTCTCATCAGTCTGTTTCTACATATGGACCGTGTTTTTTATAGTCATGCTTGGCATGGGCTGCATTTAATCAGTTTCATAGCTGGTTTCCGTTATTCAGTACATGCTGCTTTTGACAGCAGTTTAATGATAGACAATGCATTTAATGAAGTTTCCTTACATGCAGTTATAAAATGAGGGTTTTTTTCCCCATCCTGATTTGGTGAAGTAGAGACTTCATCTTGATTCAAGGAAATACAGTATTATGCAGTGTTTTAAACAATAAAGCTTCAACTTGTCACTGATACAGCAAGTTCTGAACTTTCAGAATAACTTCTAAATGCCTGCATAAGAAAATGATTAAGAGCTGTCTTATCTAGAATAAAAAATATAAATGTTCTATAATTCCGTCTGCTGACACAGACTGTTACACAGGTTAGATTTAATTTCCTCTCTGCTTTTGTGGGTTGAAGTCTGAAATATTACCTTTGAACAGTTATTTGTAACTGCTAACCAGGGCAGGGGTAACAGGGAGGGAAGAAGGTTAATATTGTTATGATCTTGCATTCCAAGATCTGTTGCATCAATTCTCAATTTGCTTTTAGGTTGGTATTTTCTAGTGTTTAAATAATAATTAAAAATCAAGTATATGAGTTAAACATTCTAGATGTTCATATTTTATATTGAAGCTTTTTTTGTATCTTCCCCCAAAAGTCCAACAGGAAAGGGTAGCAGTTTTCTTAAGATGCAGCTTACATATCCAGTTTATCATTTCTTCTTATGCAACTACTCCTCGCTTAACGTCATAGTTATGTTCTTGAAAAACGTGACTTTAAGCAAAATGATGTTAAGCGAATCCATCCGCGTAACAGTAGTTATCTGCACAAGGTGGTGGCCAAACACTGTTATAACCAAACAGTGCGTGACTTTAAACGAGTATGTTCTCTAATCGATCAGTGACGTAATAATGAAACAATGTTAACCAGGACCCCGTTAGGTGAGGAGTACCTCTTTTTCTTATGAATTTATTTGATTAACATTCCATCCCTCTGTGTTTTATTCTTTTGTCTCTTTCAGCTGATCTCAAAAGAACAATTGCTGTTCTCTTGGATGACATCTTGCAACGTTTGGTGAAACTGGAAAACAAAGTTGACTATATTGTTGTGAATGGCTCAGCAACCAATACTACTAATGGAACCAGTGGTAATCTGGTGCCAGTAACTTCAAGTAAACGTGTAAATGCAGCAAGTAATGTAAGATAGCAGCACACAGTGATACTGTTTTGCTGCTAATTATGTAGATTCCATTCAAGAAAAGCTTCTTATCTTGGGATAGGGAAAAGCAATAGTTAACTCTAAAAGATCTGTATGCTGTTCTACTCTAGAATGTGTTGGATTCACAGTAGTGCTTATTTATGTAGATAAGGTTCTTAAAGCATAACTTTGATTTTGATGGTTTTTTCAAAGCATTGTTGTACAATATCTTCCTTAAAGATATTCCGGTGAAATGATTGTAATAAGCCCAAGTAGGTGGTGAGATAAATGTCTGAAGTTAAACTACAGTGAAAACAAAAATATAGATTGATTTCTAAAATATATTTATTTAAATATGATTCTAACATATCTTTTGTATAGATGGACAATACTGTAGCTTTTCTGTGATCCGCTTTAAACAGAGATAATGGAGGATAATGTATTGTTAAACTGATGTTATAAAATGTGTATACTTAGAGTCCAGTATTTTGTTACTTACCCACTAATTGATGTTATGTTGATGATGGCATTGGCTAATATTTTAAATTGAAACCCAAAGAATGTCTTTATTTGCACTATATGTCAAAATAGCTAGAGAGAATTTACTGTATATTTAAAAATAGTTATAATATTGAAAATCATAGGTAGTGACACTGTCCAGGTGTATCCTCATGCCAGAAATAGGGCAGTTTAGATGATCAAACAAGCATAATCTAGAATATCTTATATAGTTATTTCTTACAGATATATTTAAGTCTATGTATTTTGTAACTACAGATAAAAAGGTTATTTAAGTTATCAAAGTCAATTTTCAGGTGTGTAAATATTTATTTTTATTCATGACTTATTTTGTTTTTTTAAAAAATATCTTAGTGTCTTGCAGTGCGTGTAACACCATCTTGCTAAGATAACTTGTAAAAGTGGGGAGAGAGAATTGAATTAAAATTAAGAAAGGCCTCTTGACACGCACGAGATATATGTAGTAAAGATTTTTATGTTCTTATGTATAGGTTTTTGTTTTGATGCGCATATTTGGGAACTAAGGTAATATTGCCTTATATCCAAGTTAGCCTTAGGAAAGAGAGTTTCAGTGAGTGTGCTGTATTTCAAAATGTGTTATCTGAGTCATAAAAGTAAGATAAAAGTGCTGCTCTACCTGTGTGGGGTTTTGTTTTTGTTTTTTTTAACTATGCAGAATGCATTTTTAGGATTATGTTGCTTAAAATACTCAATGTAGTAGTTTTTGATTTAAAAAAAAAAAAAACTGAGGAAAAACAGGTGCTGGATGACATACTGCCCTAAGTTCTTTTCTATTTCTCCTTGCTGATGGTCTGAGGTGGTATAAAGGAATACGTATCTAAATAAAACTTCAGTTAGCATCCGACTGATCTTTATTTTGTCTGACATACAGAGTATAAATATGTACTTCTTTTTCAGGAAAGGAAGAAAATAAATTTTTATTTGTACTTGAGAATGATTTTGATTTTGTTTTCTTCTAATGCCTTGCCTCCTCTTGTCATGTTCTTTACCCATGCTCTTTAGCTCTCTTAAGACCCCTACCTAATCTGTAAATTGCAGAGGTCTACTACTCCATTCTGTAGTGTGCCTATAAGCAGCACCTATTAAGATTTCCATTTTTGCACAGGTGATTTCCTTCCTTATTCCTGTAGCACCAAATGTGTACTTGATGCTTGCCTGGTGGAAATTCAAGTTTTCCTCTCTCCCAGTGTTCATCAAAATCAATAAGGATCTTTAGACTGATGTCTAAAATGTCCCTGAAATGTTGGGGTTAATAAGAGTTCATAATGTAGTGTTACAAAGGGAGAAATGCTATGAAGTGGAGCACTGGATCAGTCTTCCCTTGTCCATCTATGAATCAGATCTTCAGAATATCCCTATGTGTACATAAATCAGTTTTATAATATTCACATCGTTAGCTACTGGTATTTCTTTCTTCAAAACACAAACAAAGAACTCTATTTAATAGGACAGAATTGAGCCCACTTTTCTCCCTACTTGCTCTCTTTTTTAATACCTATTCACTTTTTCTTGTGGAAAGTAACAGAAATGAATATGTTAATTCTTTTGAGAGAATTATTCTCTTTTGAAAGAATTATTCTGGCACATGTCCACAAGGGGCCAGCAGGGGAGATTATGCTTAGGGGCAACCAACACAGGTTCATTAGCGGCAGGTCCTGTCAGACCAACCTGGTGGCCTTCTACGACCAGGTTACCAAATGCTTAGATGCAGGGGTAGCAGTGGACATAGTCTTTCTGGACTTTTGGAAGGCCTTCAACACTGTCTCTCACCCTGTACTCATTAGAAAACTGGGGGACTGTGGTGTCAACACCTACACAGTCAAATGGGTCACCAACTGGCTGGAGGGCCGCACCCAGAGAGTGGTAGTGGATGGGTAATTTTCGACCTGGAGAGATGTGGGCAGTGGGGTCCCCCAGGGCTCGGTCCTTGGGCCCGCACTGTTCAATATCTTCATCAGTGACTTGGACGAGGGGGTAAAAAGCACC